GGCTCCAACTACTTTTTTTATCTGCTCCTGTTTTCTAAACACCGTTGAGTTATATTTCTCAATTTATTGCGGGTATGGATGGGTTTTCCCACGTTAGTGATTTATTTAGGCATAATTTGATATGTCAATTGCTATGTGTTAACCCGTTGGGAATTCTTTCATTTCTGCCGCGCGAGGTATGGGCTTAGCTGGTTGATTTTGCCTTTGATTTCTTTTTGATACTACGCTTCTCATTGAGTATTGAATACTGAGTTTTTGCTGCACTATAAAGGAGTTCACATCAGAATACTCCCCAAATTCAGATCCCGGCCTTAAGGGTAAGATAATTTTGGATTGAGGAAAAGAGAATTCTGCAGTTAGTACACTTACTGAGCAGTCGCACTACCTTTCTTCTTGAGTGGAAGTAGAAGAGGCTCCGGGAAAATGGTCATAACTGATTTTTGGGGTGGCATTTACGTTGCTTTCAACTTTCTCTGTGCTCTGGATATTACAAGGTAAGAGAACCGATGGCGAAACCTTGCAAGCATCCACGCATAGGCGAGTAATTCGCAGAAAACCGATGACGAAACCTTGCAAGCATCCACGCATAGGCGAGTAATTCGCCGCAGCATCGGATCCAGAAGCTACTCTAGCCATCACTGTTATCACTGGTTATCCGGCTAACCCCATGAAATGGAGCCTTTATAAGGAAAATGGGGCACAATCATGGCTTCCCAAGTCCTCAAACAACTTCCAAACCCTTTTTTTTTGCCGAATCCTTCTCAATAAAACACGACGCAGTCAGGCGACGGTGTGTCAGAGTCCGGTCGCAGGTTTCGCTGATTTTCGCGATTTGCGCGATTCACGCGACGGGTCACGGAAATCACAAGTGCCCGATCAATACTGCAAGGTGTTCTCCAATCCTGCCGCCACTTCTGCTTGATAGTGATGGCTGAATGACGACTGCTCATGATTCCACTTGTTTCATATTCAGTGTTTCAAATGTTCAAACACTTGCAATTTTGCGATCCGTCGCAGGTTTCGCGCAAATCGCGAAAATCAGCGAAAGCTGCGACGGATCGCAGGACTGACACTAGCCTCACGCTTTGAAGTCAGTTTAGAAGGCACGGGTAGGGATCGAACTGCTGTGTTATTTTGTTTGGAAAGGACAAGGAGTTGGGAGAAAAGCAGAAAGCATCATAGAAAACACTGTAGTTTTAGTGCGTCGGCACTAGTGTGAATTAGAGACGTAGCAGATGCGGAGGGGGAAAATACGAGAGAGCAGCAATCTGACGCGGATGAGGCGCGCAAACACTTCGATCGATTGATGGTTTTGTGTTGTTCTTCTTAAAAATACTCAGCCTTTGGATGTTGACATTTGGGATCATCGGGTTTTTTTATATCTAATTCTACGATTTGAATTTCAGTTCTCTAAGCGTTCGGTGCCTCGAGTGTCTTAGCTAAAATTTCAAAAAAAAAAGATTGAGCGAAAATCGCTTTGTTTTTTTTTCTGGAAACCTATTTTACCGTCTTGATGTTCTCTACTAGTAGTTGAATTGAAAATGTGCGAATGGCATCAGCGATGCCCTTCATGAATGATGGATGATTTGAGTGTAACATTGGATGTTTTCATCAGCATGAAAAACAGGTTCTAATGCTTCTTTTTGAATCTGGGTCGAGAAATGTAGGTTATTGGCAGGCATTGCTGTACAACGTCACTTGGCTGGACCTTTCACTGGTGACAGTCATGTTGTACGTGAGTGCTTGCTCGCTCTACAGTGTGGAAGTGAGATCCCTGTACAGCCTGCAGTCTTTTTTTTTCTATCTTCATACTTATAGTTCATATTTTCGCGTCTGATTGGGTGTGTCTGCGGACCTATGGGCGCATTTATAGTCAGTCGTCGGTCGTAACGATCGCAACGATCGCATAGCATTAAATGCGTATATCGCCAGACGTGTTCAAGGATTGGGCAGTTGATACGGATCCAATGATGTGCGATCGTTACGATCGTTGCGATCGGGCGACCGTCTATAAATGCACCCTATTAGGACTTGCCTAAACCCGTGACTAGCAAAGCGTATTGTGCAACATGCATTACTAGCAAATCTACAATACTATTTCCATTGGGCTTTTAAATACTTTTTTCAGCTTCTGTGGTCAGTAAGCATTTAAAGCATTCCAAATCACAACGCGGGAAACGGCTTGCGATCAGCCACCTGCCGATATATTTCTGCAAATCGGAGACCGCACGCCAAGTATGGGAATGCCAGACGGCGTGCGCTAGGGTTTGGGGTCAAAAGACGTTGGGCTTGAAACAAATTGATTTAGCGGTGTGGAAAGCGTAATAGCTGGCCTCCTAGGGAAGTTATACTCTGCACCGGCGGGGAAAGCCTTGCAACAATGCACACCATAGCTTAGCAGACGTTGCGCTATCCTCGAAAAAACGATTTTCGTGTGTTTTTTTATGCTCTTAATGCTACCTAATGCTGTGTGTGCTACAAAGTCACTTAACGATGGTTCAGTGAATTGAATTAGATTTTTTTGGACGCCACAATTCAATCTTAGCTAGAGCTCCCAATCAATAATTCTTAAGAGTGCCATTGTATACAGGATAAATGACGAAAAACCGTCTTATGTATGGATAATTTTGCTCGATTTTCTGATTGTTATTTGTCACAAGAATCCAGTTCAAGGTGGATTCAATGGTTTTTACTCCGCATTTTTGGCTTTGAAACGACGAATATTGTTCATTGCGGCGCCAAAAGCGAAGCAGATGATGTTATGAAGAAGATGATGAAATTCTGCACGATAACAAATTCTAGCTTTCCTTTTTGATTTTTGCACTTCTTGCTGCTGTCGGTTGCATTGTAATTGATATTTCAAGTTTCATTAGAATTGTAATTATTCGTGCTTCGGAATTTTAAGAAGTATAACCCCTCATAATTTTAGTATAAAATTAGAGAAGGGAGGCAGATATTAACAACGACTTGAACGGCACCCCGCCCCCCTCCACGGTCCGGGGATCAAATCCTTGGTCGTACGCCAGCCAGGGCTGCCAAACCTCGTGTCCCTCTGGGGTCAGTTATGGTAACAAAGTTCTTTGAGAGGATAGAAATACTAATTTGCACGTTGGCAGAGCCTCGTAATTCAAGAATAGGGCCCAATTAGTATCAGAATGCTACTACGACTAGCGAAGCGAAGTAGACGCAGGCGCACCCAAGGAAGGAATCGACAACGCCAAAGGACTTCACCTGTTTCCTTATGGCACGCAATATGCAGGTTTTATGAAAAGGAACGTGGTGTTATATCCAATCTCCGACGCAAGGCCGATGTCACTTGCGAATCAGCGCGATCGCTAGCGTCGCGGTCGCGGTTGCGGGACAGCAACTAAGTGGTTTCACTGGACCCACGACGCCGGACGCAGACGCTAGCGGCAATCGCCGCTATTCGCAAATGTCTGACATACGCGCCAATTTTGCTCACGTTCGAATCAATAATACCTTCATTTATGGCAGGCGGCTAACTCGCACCCAAGCCCTCCTATGCGCCTTCATTCGACTTAAACCTGACCCTAGTCTTTCAGTAATTCGATACACAGCGTAGGAAGGTCCGTAGTCGTGTTTTGGAGGCCTGGAAATGAACTGCGAGGATTTGGGTGGAGACATTCCGATAACTAGGTTGTTGTTGTGAGATGGCCGTATTCATGAATATATCGCATATGTTACGGAGACTAGGGCAATGACTTCACGTTGAAAATTAATGTAGGGTGCGATTACGGTAGGTGTAATTGAGTGTAGGTGATTTATTTGCGGCAACGCGTATTCGGGGCGGTTGTGTATAGTGTTATTCACCACAACGTGTGATTCATAGAGTATGAACTTTGCGGTTCATATATGTGCAGTTATGGCGTTCTTATGTTGTTCGGGACTGTACTAGTTGATTGGCAGTTCACTGCCGTGTCCGAGTGATGTAACGGCTCGTGTGGCTATTAGTCATATTGATGGGAACATTGTGTATTCGCAGTGGTTTAGTTGTGTCGTGTGTCATAATCGATGTGTCTTAAAACAGTTCGTCCTCTGATGCAAGGGCTATGAATAGCGCTTTTTCACCTCGTACGGTTTTCTTCGACGGTTGTAAAGGTCAAACGAGGCATTTCATCGATCATACTAGCGATGTTTCGTGATGTTTCTTCTTTATTTTCTTGGACTTCGTCATGAATTGATATGTTCTGAAGGTGCTTTTTTCAAATTTAATTTTTGCAGAATATTCATCTTGGTATTTTTGTCAATCCCAGCTCGTTTTGTAGAACGTCGTCGTAATTTCACTCCTTTTTCCTTTATTTTCAAAGATTAGCTGAAGTTTTATGGGCGCTATAACTTACTGCAAAGTGTCGCTTTTATTGATAGTTGAATAGATAACGGGGTTGCCATCAATTTTGCAACGGCTTTTGTTCTGCCGATATCGATTTTGGATTTTCTCGCAAGTTCTTCGAATTATTTTGAAACGTATGGCTAAACTGTAACGTTCGAAAAGTAGTTTTCGCACAACCAATACTACCGAACTATTTCGTTTCAACTGTGAGCGCATCATCAGCTTGAACTCTTTAGGACATTCATTGGAACTAAATGTTTTGATACTCTATAGATTCTGGTCTTTTCGTGCTAGTCGCCTTATACTGCGCACTTATCGAGTTGTTTGAGGTCTGCAATTGGTTCTCGTAAAACGGTCTCGTTCGATCCCTGCTTAACCATTACTTTCTGTGCCGAAAAATATGGGGTAAAGGTTGGTGGCGATATTCGAAAACGATGAAGTATATAAAAAAACAAAAAAACAAAATAAATAAAAAAAAAAAAAAAAAAAAAAAATAAAAAAAGAAAAATATTAAAACGAACAAAGAAATCGTTCAGATCTGATATCGAAATCTAGCAGAGTACCTATTGGATGGCGGCAGTAATAAATGTGTATGCAACGTCGGCGACGACGGAGAATTTGTCACGACATGAGATGTTGATGTGGGTGAATGACTGCCTTCAGAGTAACTTCACGAAGATTGAGCAGCTACACACAGGAGCAGGATATTGCTCAGGTAAAAGTTTAATTATTTCCTTGGCCCTTGTGTAGCGTATGCGTCATTTGGAATACTTTTTTACTGACATTTTCTGTTGTAACACACAATTTTTGATCAATGAAGTGTTTATTGGTCTATCAATAGTAGAACACAGCAATGTTAGGACTGAAGAAATAATTCCCGGTTGGAGCGCGCCAACTCTGTAAAACGTTCGTCAGTAGCGCAGACTCTGTGAGTCAGTCTGCGTTCATGAAATTCCGATATTGAATAGTTAAAACTTGTTTGTTTAAGGCGCGGTCCATATCATTACCTCCTGTTTCCCGATTCTCTCACCTGACTAAGATGGTAATTGTTCGCTTAGCTGAGTAATCAATCGACGACTATTCAAGACTTACCTAGCGAATTTCTTTGATATCAAAAACTCCAGATCGTTTAGTTCTACACAGTTGCAGTTTCTTCAGTCATCTTTCAACTATGTCCCTTTCCCGTACTTTTTCTCTGAATAAATAGCGTTGTATACCCTCCTTGTCGAAGAGGAGCTATTTTGAAGTACGCTTTTGAGGGTGCCGTTACTGCTGAATTTTCTTTGATTGCTAAGAATCTTCTATCCTCTACACTCATGTCCTCACTTTTTGCGTTTGAAATTTTTGTTCGAGCACAGCATTGACGAGTAATTTTTCAGTTCACAGATTTTCTTTTCCCGGGCTCGATTCCACTAAAAAAGGTGAAATGGAATTCGATTCTTGAATTGGACTGGCTTGGAAACTGGAAGATTGTCCAAACTTCATGGAAAAGTCTTGGTGTTGAGAAGGTCGTTCCTGTAGACAAGCTCATTAAAGGAAAATTCCAGGTCTGTGATGCAACAGTTTTTCTATCCGTATTGTTATTAGTTCGGGTTTCGAGGAAAATGCTATGTTCCACTTTTTTCACGATTTTTTTTTGAATTTTTAAAATTATGACGGAACTGAGCTGGCTTTTTACTATGCTCCTTCATTAGGTTTTGAGTTTAGGATAACTTCGAATTTCTACAATGGTTCAAGAAATTCTTTGACGCCAACTATGATGGTCACGAGTACAATCCAATAGAAGCTCGTGGAGGAGAACCTCTTCCGGCCGACCCTCCTGCTGGAAAAGCTCCGGCTCATGGAGGGACGCGAATGCAGATGCCTACACGTACGAGTGTTTCAGCAGCGTAAGTCTTCTCTTAATTTCTGTATCCCGTGTGTGCCGTTTATTACCCTTATGTTTACTGAAACAAAGTCTTTGTAGTTTATAGGTTTCAGTGCTGTTCTAAAGTCGAGGAAAGTTGCGCTATGAGTGGAATTCCCAATAGTGTATAATTTTTAAGCGCTAATTACAGAAAATCGGGTCCACCATCGCGAAACTCGTCTTCATATACTATAAACTCAGCGCCGGCAAAACCACGACCATCCACCGCAACGAATGTTGCTGCACATCGCCAACCAGCACCAGCTTCTGCTAAGATTAACAATAATGTCGTGCAAAAGGTCAGTTTATGCGATAGAAATTTTTACGATTTTCTTTTCCAGTGCAAACTTTTAACGATCGGCTTATGTGAGTTTTTAATGCACTCATATGCGCTCATGCCTTGACTTAGTGGGGCAGTGAGCTTGTGGCAGTCGGGGTAGTTTGATAGGGCTCAGGCAGAAGTTTTCAATGCCATTCTCCCGTCAATTATCATTGTTGGTTTTCTGCAGAAAACGTTATGGTTATTTCTAGGCTCATATTTGGCTCATTCCTTTTCTTTATCGTTTTGATAGGCGCTTCAAAACATAGCGTCCAGCGCATGGCGAGTCTTGATGTTGAGTCCATACTTTGCTGCATTGCAACAGATATATTTCAGTAGATTTGCATGTTTGGCGCAAAGTCTAAGGACTGCCTTATGGGTAGGCATGTGCACACTATCCTCTCCTTACAAGACATCTTTTAGGTTGTGATGGAAATGTGTTTCTTTCCTGACTGGGGGTATTTTTCAGCTTGAAAGTTACTAAAGTAAATAATTTATCACACTATTGATTCTTCTTTAAGCATCAAAAGCCAATCGAATTGTCATAGACCAGCACTGCTGCACTACGTTTTTTTGTCGTCCATGACTAATGTTCAATTGAGCGTATTGCCGCGCATCCATAGCCGTGACCAATAGTCTCGCGTATATGTATCGTCAACGTCATCGCATATATTTCCTTAATATACACAAATGGAGTGTAAATTTGCATTTATATCAAACAATTTCTTTCTTCCGTTTTGGTGTCATAAGATTGCATTTTAGCCAGCTCCGGCAGCGAGCCGTCCTGCTGCCGCAGCCCCCTCGCCAGACGCGATGCAATTGAAGCAGCTGAAAGAGGAAGTTGAAGATGTGAGTAGAATTTATGGAGAATATTTATTTTATGTGAGGTTCTGTTGATGAAATTTGAGATGATTTTAGATTATTTGCGAATTGTTTCTACTTCTTCAAGTTTTTGTTTTCAACGATTTCTTTTTGGCATTCATCTTGTGAAACTTTTAGTTGTAAGTGGTCAAATACACCTAAATGTCGGGAATTTTACTGATGGTGGCGCAAAAGCTTTTGGTTGCCTAACAGGCGCAGTTTTGGTTAAGTCAACTGCGAGGCTTTCTTGCTTCTATCAGCCATCAATTTTATTGCATGAATTGCTAAATCAGTGGAATACCGTTAAAAATCCAAGTTTTTGACCTCTTGCTGAAGGGCGAACGGATTTGTTCAGGCTGAAAAATTCCTTCGCCAAGTAGTTACATACCTGCACGGATCAACTACTTAGTGAGAAAAGAATGGCGGAAATAGCGCGATTCAAGAATTATTATGCGCATGAATCGAGTGTAGTCTGCTTGAACATAGTCGATATTGAAACGTTATAGTAATTGCAGGCAAATTCCCTTTGGTGACCGTTTGTTTATAAATCACATGAAAATAATCTTTCCAACCGAAATCGGTGAAAACCTCAAAGCCACGACACAGTCCTGTTTCATTTGTGCATTCCAAACATTTCTTTTCAGCTGACTCGTCAATTAGGCGAAAGTGATGCGGTACTGAATAGCTTAGAAAAAGAACGTGACTTCTACTTCAACAAGTTGCGACAGATTGAGGTAAAGTTGTTAACTTACGAAAAGTTATGTTTTTTCTTTTTATAATTTTTTTTCCGAAAGCAGGTGATTGTTTGAGTCTGTGAGTTTCTACTCGCTCTCAATTTGTGTTCACCAAATAATGACCGTTCGTAATCGGAATAATGATGGGTACTTGCTTGAGCTATACCTCTGAGGATCTTCGAGCACCGCTGTAGCTTTATGCATTTGAGAGTGACAAATGCGGCAACATTGAGCTGCACCCAGTTATAGACTTTATGCTTGAATCCGTTTAGGTTGTCTGCCAAGATAACGAATCGATTGGTACAGTAGAAGTGGCGCGAATTTTGGAAATTCTTTACGAAACAGAAGAAGGTTTTGCTGCTCCCGATGAAGAAGATGAGCAGCAGTGAGAATGAGGTAACTATAATTCCAAATTGGAGTTGCTTACAGTAATTTTTTTCATTTTTTTTGTTTCATCAGAGTTGTTAAGGTTGACGCTTTGCTGCTTTCTGATTCATGCCAGTATTTCGACTTCGACAGTAGTTTATGTATCAGATGTTGTCTGCTTTTTACTCTGCTATTCATAGATGTAGTATTTCCAAAACTCGTGTGATTTGCTTATGTTCTTCCCTCTCTGATGTTGTGTTGCTCCAACAGCGGCTAATATCTATTTTTCTTTGGACTGTTCTTCATGAATAGTCACTCTGTTGTTGGCCTTTGTTATTCATGGTGCACTCCAACTCATTGCAATGTTTCCCTACATAATAAGATTTATTGTTTCAATTTAATTTATTTAGTGTGTATTTCAAGAGGTTATCTATGGCGCTATATTTTATAAAATCTGGCACAGATATTTGTCCGTCAGCTTTGTCCCGAAATGGCTAAAGCTGATTAACGGTTGTTGTATAGTATGAGTTGTGGGGTTACTGCTTCTTAAATATCTTGCAATAAAGTTATAGGTTATTCCCTAATAAAACAGGGCAGAACAACTCATATAACTAGATTACAGCTTTCTTTCTACTCACGATGCAATCTTATTCTGATGAATGCTTTCTTGAATTTTTTTTCTATTCGTTTCGGCTGTGCTTGTATTAAATATGCGCTGAATCGAACATTTTTCTGTGCAGAAATAAATTTTTATAATAAGTTACTGTTGAAGTCTCTGCATTGGAACATGTCGTAGGATCGAATGTATTGTATTTATTTGCAGGTTCAAGGTTGCGTGAAATAGTTTTGCGCTTGGTGTTGTGCTAAACCTCTCATAGTTTGCATTCGCAATACGAAAACTGATGCGTGGCACATTTCAACGAACTTGCGCTGTGTTTCGTTGGCAGGGTGCTTAGACTAGTACTGGAGGTTAGCGCTAATAAGTCGTGGTTATTGATAATTATGGAGAAGCAGCATATGAGCGTGTGAACTCTCCTTCTGCATCGTATAAGGTACCGTCAAGTAGTGGAATACTGCTCTGTGGAGAGGTTGTCCCCTTCATATTTCTTTTGGGTTGCTGTACACATACCTATGATTTATTCTCGCCGGAGGAACTAGACGTATTCCCAGTGATTACCAAGTGTAAGCTAGTGTCTTTCGACAATCCACTTCTGAAGGGATCCAGGATTACTTCAGATGGACGAATTCTTTCCATTGTAGTTCATAGAAGCTGCATTTTGAGTTACAGATTCCCTGTTCACCGCCTTTCGCGTGCGCGGGGACACTAGGGTCATTCCAGAGACCGCTTCTAAGCCTTTGGACCGCCCAGATACTGCAATGGTTCTCGCTCTCTCAATCCAATGCAACTTCTGATGCCGAGCCTCTCATTCCTTAGCAAGCCGATATGGTTCACAGCCTCAGTTTGCGCTTGTCGGATTCTGTTACTTTTTCATTTTCTGCTGGCCCACTTCTCCCTTTGCCTGCAAAGTGTAAATGAAGCACATAACCGAGTTAGATTCTGGGGCGTACCGGTATGCAACCAAAGAGCAAGAAGAACTTTACTTCTGAATGTTTTAAGGTCTCTATTTGAAAAGTAAGAGCAAAAAAACTTCTAGGATGGCGTCAACAACAACGAATCCGTCAACATTACTGCCTCTTGAATTGGTGGATAAGTGTATCGGATCACGGATCTGGGTTCATGAAAGTGAAGCTTATCTGATACTTATAAGAAACCGTCTGTTTTTTGTTTTCAAAAGAATTCAATATCTGCATTCGGTCACTTTCAATAAGTAATATGTTATAATGAGCTAATACCTACGTATTGAGCAGTGGACGAATCTCTTTCCTTGGCGCTATTTACCATCTACTGCTCCACTCCTCAAGAACTGAGCCGGATTTCACCCGAAATTCGTCTTCGACTAAGGATTTGCTAGAACGTGGGATTCACTTGGTTATCTCAAGTTCAGTTAGAATCCGAATAACAACAGCGTTTATCGCAAAAACGCTTGTTCCCCGCGCCAAGGCGCCGGACCCCACCGCATCAATTGCGCTGTGCTCACCGTTGCGCGAGCTACAGGCTCAGTCGCGACGAACTTGTGTGATATTCTACGGGTTCAACTACCTCTGATGGAAAGTTCCAAGCCCATTTGGTGACCCGAGGTGTTCTGGCGCCTTTTGGCGCTGGCTTGTGACGCGGAGCGCCAGGCGTTTTCGCGGTAAACCGAGTATGATATTCGTGTTCTACGGGTCGAATTACCCCTGAAGGCAAGTTTCTAGCCAAATCCACAGTCATGGACAATTTCGATAAAAATCCGGCTCAGTTCTCGAGGAGTGGGGCAGTAAAGGGTAAATAGTGCCCTTCCTTCAAGAGTGTCGCTCTGAGAGCTATTGGACAAGTCCATTACCTTCTTCAATATCACCGGACTCGTTGATTTTTTTTGTATCTTGAGATCGTGAACAAAGTTATGGAATTATTGGCGCTTATACTGGTAATTTTTTGCTGATGACTAGAGCTAATCTTGAGAAAGAAACCTCGAAGGCAAGCTTTAAGAATTTTCCAGTACGTAGAAGTAGGCCAAAATGTATAGGGAAAGCTATAGGCATGGTTTTGTCCTCGGCAATATTTTCCTAGTGAATTTACCGTTGGAACAATAAAAAAGGTTGCACTGGAAACATTGGGAGAGTCTAAAACCAAGGGTATCACTATAATGATTGGCTTCAACACTGCTTCAAGTTAGAACACAACGGGACCTCTCGCAACAAAAAATCGCTCACAGTTAAAAAAGGATATAATCAGTGGATGAGATACGATTGGATTGAGGTATTCATCAACGCAGAACCTAAGCTCTTGTGGTCCATTTTCTCCCTTTGAGCATTTTTGATTTTTGATTTTCATAGCTTCACAGCTTCATTTTGTCTCAATTTTGTTCTAGCTAAAAGTTCCTCGAAAAGTTGGGCTTGATTCTTATATGGTTTATTCAGGAGAAAAGGAGATTGTCGGAACATTGATGGGATTCGACGACTACGTCAATATGGTACTGGAGGATGTGGTACGTTTCGTGAAAATTGCTTTTTCCCGGAATTTTTTTTCCACTGAATTGTGAACGCACCCCCTCTGGAATTGAATCGTCAGACTTAATCAATGCTCTGAACACTTAGTGCATGGAATAGGGTCTATTTTGCGTCGATTTGCTGTCCTCTCCATAATTTTTGGCTGTTCAGGTCGAGTACGAACAAACACCGGACGGTAAACGAGTGACAAAATTGGACACAATTTTGTTGAACGGAAATCACATAACGATGCTTGTACCTGGTGGTGAGGGACCGGAAGTCTGAAACCGCTGGCAAGCATTTCATTTTTGTTTACTGTCTCGATGTCGTGACGAATCGTTTACCTCTTGTTGTATGTACCACCCTAACCCGGCTTATTTCACGGTTCTTTTTGCAATTTGTGAGTCGTAGTTCGATTTCTGAATGCGTTGTTGATTGATTCTTATATTCCAAGTGTTTGCGAATGATCTATGGTTACCTACGGATAAATTGTTACGATTTTTGAATGAAAGGTTTTCGTCTTCACGTGAGCGGTATGAGGTGGTTATACCATTCAAAAGTTCGTGGTAAAAACTCAAAAATCAAACACTGTTAGGCGGGTACAAATGTGTAGGTTTGGCACTTAAAAATGATGACTTGTGAAGATTTATAAACGAACAATTTCGGCTAGGAAAGTCAAAGGAAATGTTGTGAGAATGGATTCAAGTAGTTGAGGATGCGCCATGCGAACATTTTTATACAGGATTTTTGAGTCGTTTAATTGCGCATTTATCCATACTATGACTTTCTGGACCAGCCCGTTCGGCCGATGTTATTCTTTTCCAAAGCAAGGCTAGCACTAATTTTCATGGGCTGAGTGATCAGATGGAGATGG